CTTCTCCATCCCACAATGGAAGTATAGATGTCTCTTCCATTTGCATTTTCAGAATTTTTAAGGTGTACTTCTAAGGATATTAGTTTTACTGAATGAAGTTATTTTCCTGTTCCTCTATGCTTTTCATACAATAAAGACTGAAAAACAGGAACAGTGTCTATATGCTCAACATACAAAGATAGTGGGATATTCATCAATCATGAGGGGAAATCATCAGGCCTGATAATGCAGAATCAGGATGTAGGAAAGAGAAGAGGGAAAATTGCTTGAGATGAGACATAATTAAAAGAGTGTGGGGGAGGAATGACAGACGGAAATGTTTTGTAGCAATTTGCAACAAGTGGCTTTGATGGTTTAAGGCCTAGTCTTTTAAGGCATGCCTTAGTGTTATTCTATTTGGGATCAGGAGTCTGCTTCTCCCTCTACATTGCTTTCTAGACCTGCTGTAATTTAGGATTTTTTTTCAGAATGATTTAGCTCAAGGTCATCCTGTGTTGGAAGCCTAGAGATGTCAGATAACTTCCTGTGAGAGGAATACAGTTATTTGGGAACACACACTGCCACTATAGTCATTACCAAGAGTGCTCAGGCTTGGTTTTGTTTTCATTGCAACAGGGAACAAGGAAGGAAAGTGACTTCTTTCAATTTCCAGGAAGTCAAACTTTGGACACATCTCTGCTCCTTTCCTCAGAGTATAGACTCACAGAAGTAGAGAATAGAGGAATGATTTCCAGAGACTGGAGAGGGCAGAGGGCAGGAGAGGACAAGGAGAGATTGATTAAAAAGTTCCTGTGAGATAAGAGATAGGAGGAATGATTTCCAGGCTTCAAAGCACAGCACAGTGGCCATAGCTCACCAGAATCATTGTACATTTCAAAATAGCTAGAAAATGGGCGGGGTGGGGGCTGTGGCTCAGAGGTAGAGAGCTTGCCCAGCACATGTGAGGCACTGGGTTGTATCCTCAGCACCACATAAAATTAATTAATTAATTAGGCATTTAAAAACAAAAAAACCCTAGGTTAAAAAAATAGCTAGAAAAGAGGATTCCAAATTCTCTTGCCACAAAGATATGATGAATATTTGAGATGATGAATTTGCTCCTGATTCTGATGTGATCGTTAGATTTATATACATATATCAAAACTTCACAGTATAATTCATGAATAGGAAAAAATTTCCTTGTGTCAATTAAAAATTAAAACTGCAGTCATAAAAATTACAAAGAGAAAACAGAAACAAGCTTCAAGCTTCCTATTACCATGAGGTCAGTCTTCCTTAAGGAAGTATTAATAAGACTCCTGTCTTCTGGAGGATGTCTGTCCAGACCCTTAGACTTGTGACTAAGACCCAACTGCACCCTATCCCCATAATCACAGCCATTCTTCTGACAGTAGGATCATTCTACTAGGTTCTCAGTGGTTATCTCACCTCAGTATTGATATAATGCACTCTCCATGCTTCTGCTAGAGATTGTTCTAAAACTTGACTTTGCTTCACTGCACCTTGCATTTTTTTGCTCCATGTTTTCTCCTGCTGCCAAGTCTTCACAAAGTGCAGTTGCCTCTGATTGAATGCTTCCACTCCTTAACCACTCAGGAACCTCCTCCTTCTCCCTGAGGAGTCAGCCTGAGCAACACTCCTTGTTCATTCTGGATTTCTCCACACTGAATAAGAACTCATTCGTGATTTCATTACACTTTGTGCATCTCTCAACCCTAAAGATTTGGATTTATTGGAAAATCATAACATCTCCAATTTACCAGAGGACTAAATTATCATTGAGGCTATACTTATTGATCTTTATGTCCCCAGTTCCTACCTAAACTCCTGGGTATACAGTAGACACTCAGAAATGTTTATTGAAATTGATCTAGAAAGTTATAAGAGATCCTCAAAAAGAATGATATTTCACCAGGAATACGAAAATAAAGTCTGGCACGGTATATGTTACCTGAGAACTCTGAACAACCTAACTACAACCCCTAAGAAAAGAAATTTGGATTTTGGTTGTTTATTCATTCTTCCTTCCCCCCCCCCTTTTTTTTTTTTGTTTTTCACTTCACACATGCACCCTCATTTTTAATATATTCAGGTTAGTAGGAGAAATAAAAGTTAGAGGATTTTTTCCCCAGTACTTGAAATTGAACTTTATCACTGACTGATTTTTATTTTGTTTTTAATTTTTAATTTTGTGGCAGGGTCTTCTTTAATTGCCCAAGCTGGCCTTAAACTGTGATCCTCCTGCCTCAGACTCCCGAGTAGCTGGGATTAATGACATGCATCACTGTGCCTGACAGTCACAGGAAACAAGCTATGTAGTTCAACCAAATCATTCAGAATATTTAAACTACGTAAACAAAAAAGTATTAACATAGAAACTTATCATGTGTAGAAATAATGTTCATAAAACATTATTTAAAGCATTATTGATTAAATATTTCAGATTACTTTCTACGTACAAAGAACTGTTTTAAAAATATCTATTCATTTATTTGTCATAACAACTTCAAGAGGAGATCATGGAGCAAATTTAAGTCTCTCTTTAGTGTTTTGGGATAGTGGGTTGACTTCTTTTCCTTATATAATGCAGAAAGATTTTGAATTAATAATACCTAATAACAACAAATTATTTTAAAATATTTTGAAAGATTAAAGTATTTAAGAAAGAAGCTATTAGTGAAGAGTATTGTAGTATTTATCATCTCTATTGTGCTTACAAAAAGAAATGGAATAATTGAATATTTGGGAGGAATTTTGTCTGACATTGAAGTATCAACATTAAGTAGAGCACCTGATTAATCATGGATAGATACTGTAATATTTTGTAGGCTCAAGATAAATCCAAGTTTGTCACAACATAAAGCAGATATCAGAATAAAATCTTGAAAATATTCTTATTTCTCCTCATTTGTAACTTTAATAAACAGTGATGATTAATTGCAGTAGGAGATTTCAAAAGAGAAGATTAAACTCTAGATAAGTTGAAATGTCAAAAGTGAAAGCTAATGCCACTGACTACTCAGAAAATAGCAGACTGGGTTCACATGTGGATCATTAATGACAAAAAAAATCTGCAGACATTAATGAATACAGATCTAAACTAAAGCTACAACAAGCTTTCCAATTTTTAAAGAAGTCATGAAGTGGAAAATACAAGTATTCAAAAGTCAGAAGAAGACATCATACCACAGCAGAAAACTATCACGATTTTATCAGTGAACAACACGTCTGGAGGAATGGCTAATATCTCTGATAATGACATTAGCATCTAAGAAAGATCTGTTTAAACCTCAGATTAACAAAACCAAATTAATATATGCATATATCAATTGAGTTTTCTGCTTATATGTCACCTCTCCATAGAGGCCTTTTGACGACTCATTTCTAATGTAACCTTTGGGATTCTCCATTTTCCATTACTTCATCCTGTTTGGTTTTCATCATAGCATTTATCCCATCCTACTATTTTCTTTATATATATTTATTGGTTGATTTGTTTCTTCACTAGCTTCACAGCACAATAAAAAACATGCAAATAGCAACCTATTTGATTTATATCACTGAGTGGGATAAAATCATTCGGTGAAAAATAAATGTCCATTTATGCCTTTCTCTTTAAAAATAAATTTAAACAGTACAGATTGAAAAAAAGCAGTATTTCATGTAAAATATAATATATGTACATTATTTAATCACTGGGTCAGAATTTGCTGCTGGTCAATCACTTGATCTTTAGTAAATCACTTAATTTTTTTCAGAAACAGTTTCCTCATTTGTCAAGTACTCCTAATCATAGCCAACCTCTCAAGAATTTTAAAATAATTTATAGGAAAGAATTTTTAACTATAAGGTACAAAACAAATACGAAAAATTATGACAGATGGTAGAACCAGGGCCAGTTGACCAAAACCTCAGTGTAAACTGTTAGTGTCTCATGATAACTTTAAAAAATAGATACAATGTTGCATCCAAAGAAAAGAATACTTTTTGTACTGGTTGGACTCAAACCAGGTTATTATATTTCCTCCCAGTTGCATATTTTACAAGATACTGGCAATTTTGTACAAGTAGACCAACTACTTCTACAAGTGTGGAAACAGTGAAATTTGAAACACAGTGAAGAAAATTGAGGGGGCTATGATCATAAGGAACATGGAAAGGAAAGTAGAGGCTGTGATGCTTATTTTGAAAATGTGAATAATTTTAATTAAAAGATTTATTATGTATAGTACCAAGATGCAAATGAGGAGTTGGAGGGAAATTAAAGTCAAATAGAGGTTTGACTCTTTTAAGGTCTTACTTGGTGAATGTAAGGAACAGCCTACTAACTAGCGATTTTATAGTGGTGGAGGTAGAGAAATGGGTAATCACACCCAAGGTAAGAAGGGTACTTATCAGCAATGTTTGTATTGGTCATCCTACTGAGACTTTCTTTAATATCCTTTAGTATTGTTACAGTTGTCTGTTGACAACATAAACTATGGTCACATTTATGAAACTTGTTATCCTTCAAGGATTCCCTGTTGTATTTTATAGGAAACTTGCTGTTGCCAATACACATTCCTGCTAAATATGCCCTTCAATTAAAAAAAAAAAAAATGGTCTCTCTCATCCTCCAGTCTTGAGGAGGAGGGAGATGCCTTAAAGACTCAGCTAGTGCCAATTTGGCAAATGATAAGTGTTAAAATATGTTTTTATGAAATGTTAAAATATTTGCCTTAAATGACTTTTGAATTGTGGGGCTTGAGGGCCACAGTGGCTCCTCCTCATTACTTTTATGTTTGCATTACAAAGACAAATCTATCAACACCTCCTGTATTAAACATGTGATGACCTTTTCCTCCTGTCCCTATACCTACATCTCTATTTGGAGAAAAATGCATGTAAAAAAAAGAAAGAGAGAGAGAGAAGGGTAGAAAACAAGGACATTTAACCCACAGAGAAGCAGGTTAAAATTTCATTACTTTTTTTTTTTTTTTTTCCTATTTCAGCTCAAAGCAGGAGGAGGCTGGAGGCTTCGGACTCAGTGCTGGAATGAGGAGTAATTGAGCTTGTGCTGAGCTGGAGGTAGCTTTCTCCTCCCGGTGTCATTGCTGCAGCCTCCACTCCCGGGTCCCTAGTTCATCAGCTGCCTCTCTTCCTGGTGTAAAATCGCCTACAAAGACAGCAAAGCCGCCACTGAAGTTGCCCGGCGTAAGACTACGGAGGTATTGGCTCAGTAACTTTTCACGTCATTTTCTGCTCTGGATCCCCTTCTCGCCTCTCCACGCAGCTTTTCCCACCGCAAATCACCAGTGCTCATGGGGCAGGCGAAGAGGAGCTTGCAGCACTGAGCTGAACCGGACTCGAGCCCGTGATGTCCGGCACCAAATTGGAGGACTCCCTCCCTCGTCGCAACTGGTCATCTGCTTCGGAACTGAATGAAACTCAAGAGCCGTTTTTAAATCCCACCGACTATGACGACGAGGAATTCCTGCGGTACCTGTGGAGGGAATACCTACACCCGAAAGAATATGAGTGGGTCCTGATCGCCGGGTACATCATCGTGTTTGTGGTGGCTCTCATTGGGAACGTCCTGGGTGAGTCTCCTCCCGGGCAGACCTCCAAAGGGCTGTCACCTCCCCCCCTGCCCCAGGCTGCAAAGACTCTGAAGACCCCTCCCTTCCCTTGGGATGCAAACAAAGAGGTTGCTGCTCTCCGTGAGGTTTTTGATACAAAGAAAAAAAAATTTAAAAGTTTTCTGATTTTACTAATCAGGACTAAGGGTGATTATTTCTTTTTCTGCAAGGGGAGAAAAGAAACCGTGGATTGTTTTTGTTTTTATTTTTGTTTTCCTCTGAGCATCTAGGTTACAAATACAGGGAGAGGGACAGCGACAGGCATCTCCAGGTAGATTTTGTGGAGTGTAAGGGAATCAGTCATGCTTTTGTGTAACCTGGCTAGGTGTTTTAGGAGCTTTGGGGGCAGATAGAGCTTGCAGAATGCAATGCTTGCGACCCTAGGGAGTAAGCTCTCTTTGGTTGTTGAAGTCACAAAGCATATTGTGAGCTAGGTAGCATGCCCTCTGGCAAGGAGGCTTAGGCTCCCATCAAGAAATGGTAATGAAAGTGCAGAGAGCAGAGACAGAAGCAAAGCAGGGAAGCACACTCATTCTCCAAAACTGAATTAAACAGGAATCATGCAGGGAGCAAGGAGGAGCATCCAAGAAAAGTACCACGGAGACCTTAATCGTTCATCCATCCATTCACTCATTCATTCATTCATCCATTCAACCAATATGTTGTGTTTTTTTCCTCTCCAGAGGGCGCTTGTTGCCATGTTCATGAAAATATTTGTACGAACTGATTTTTTTTTTTTCAAAGATGATGCTAAGCTTAATACTAGACTCCCCCTACTTGTCCCTAGGTAGGTTTGTATGCAAGCACAAATTTTCTTGCTCCCCCCATCACCCTCCCCACTATAATTTATGAGGGATGTGGAGGGGGGTTAGGTGACCTTATGAGGCTGTGGTTATGCAGTTTGTTAGGGCAGGAGGGGAATCTACTTCAAGAAAAGGAGCTTTGAAAGGGAAGGGCGATTTAAAATAAATTGTGAATGGAAGGAGCATGCACCTTAATGAATGGAGGTGGGAGGCTAGGAGGCATTTCAAATGCAGAGGGCAGTGTGGAGGAAGTCTGGGCTGAAAAATCACAGGAGGAGGTGGGGGAGGCTAGGACAAGATACTCTTGATTTTCAGTTATAAAAAGGGGAGAAGGTGAGTGAGGTGAGATGGGGATGGGAGGCTTGGAAGTTAAAAGCAAAAGATCTGTGGCAGCAACAGAGGAAGATAAGGAACTTATCAGGCTTTGAGCACTCACCTGATTTTTACCTTTTCTCCCAAGTGTGTTAGTATGGATAGGAAGCATCCAAAATAGTCTCTCACCAATTCAGCAGGCAGAGTAGCTGACAGTTTGAGACTGAGAAGGATTCTCTGGAGAGTTAGTAGGATATTATTTGATAAGAACACTCTGAGAACTTTAGTTTGCTCTTTCTTTATAATTTTTGGACAGTTTTGCTTTTGCGATTTTTGTTAAAGGTAAAATAAAGGGGATCATCTTGGGATTCAGACAAAGTGGATAAAAGTATAAATATGCATAGTTAAGGATCTTTTTATAAGGATTTCTTTAATAAAAATGCCTTTATTGCTTTTCTTCTTGTGATCCATCATTAGATTAAAACTATTAATACACATGGCTACCAGCATAGCAACATTTTACTGCATTATGCCAACACTTACTGAAAGGTAGGTAATAAAAAATGAACATATATTGAGTACCTACTGTGTGCCAGAGCCATTCAATTATGCTGTCATTTAAAATGCAAAATAGCCCACATTAGAGGGAAAAACAAGACTTAGAGGTATTAAGTGACTTATTAAAGGTCATGATTGATATTCAGTTCCATTTCTTCTGACCTCAGATTCAGAATTATCCATTGTTATTCCATGCTAGATCTAGAAAGCATATAGAGAATGGATTCTGTATTCCTGATTGTCTGCAAGCCGATTGGATGGGTTTCTTCTTGCCTTCATCTATGTCGTCAGCCAATAAAGTACCACAAGAGGTTAATGGCACTGTCATTCCCTCCACCAAAAACCTGTCTAGGAGGAATGTGATTTCTGTGCAGTACAAAATGACATTTTTTTCCCTGCAGGAATAACTACAAACCATAACTATTTTCCTTACTTATTTTTATTTCAGGCTTAATCTTTGTGATAAAATGAACTCTGCTTTGATGCTATTTCATTTTTTTTTCCATTGCACATATGTTGTATTACATGGTCTTCATATCCTAATTGCATAGTTTAGGGATATATGTTTACTAGCCTGAGGAATTTTAATTTCTAAAAGGAAACACCTCTACAGTAAAAGCTACCTGTTTCATAACATCAAGGAAAAGAGCACTGTCCACAGCCCCAAGTGCTGAAAGAGCCAATTTCATTCAGCTTAAAAAGAAATATTTACTCAAAGCACTTTGCTCTGAAAATACTGACAGCTATTTTCCTCAGGATTGAGTAACGCTGAAACCCTCTGCAGCTGAACTGAAACTCATTCCTTACTGACATATCCCTGAAAGTTGATGAGGTTCAGGTTTGACATTTACACAAATGAGCAGTGTCATTACTCACAGTCAACTTCTTGCTCTTTGATGTCACTGTCAAATATACAAAATGGATTAGATTTAGAAATGCCTTTTTGCCCCTCTGACATAACTAATTTTACAGAGAATACCAGGACAAGAAGTCACATTATTCGTGCAAGATAAAGAGACAATGGGTGGTATGAAGGTGAAATAACAGTGTAGGCAGCAGATGTAAACACTGACCCATTGGGTCCACTCACTATTTGAGCTTTCATGTAACTGCTTGGAAAATATCAATCTTGTTGAACTTACACATATAATGCCACCAGTTAGAAGTCATTTCTCCCACAGTGCCCTTTGGTGAAATGACGTAACAAGATACTCTGTGCAGAATAATGAAGTCTTGGTCACCACCCTCCCTACCACCACCACCACCACCAACACACACACACACACACACACACACACACACACACACACACACACAGAGTCTCTCTCTATCCTTATGTCTACTCTTCATTATCAGATGCTAATTCCAGAGATAGAAAGCTGTTTCTGGAAAAAATGACCAAGTCATTTTATTTACAGAAACAAATTACTGTAAATAGAATGGCATGAAAATTTGTATTTAGGAAAAAGCCATATGTGTGTCTAATTGCAGATTTTTAGGAAGGAGCATAGGTAAAAGCTCTTTGGGGAAGGAGTATTTTTCTGTTATCTGCAAACTGATGACACATAACCTATTCATAAATTTATCTGGTATGATGATCAAGTACATATACCCAATTATTTAATCAATATATTTGGGGCATTGTTATTTATTTATTTATTTATTTATTTTAGTTTTGTTTTGATTTTTTTGAGGGAGGGACTTGCTGAGCTGCTTAGGTCCTTGCTAAGTTGCTGAGATTGGCTTCAAATTGCTATCCTCCTGCCTTAGCCTCTCAAGCTGCTGGGATTATAGGTATGGGCCACTGTGCCCAGCTCAATGTTTGGTTTTTAAGATTAATGTGTATGTGAGTGAGGACTCCTGGGGAAACTTGAAGAAATATATTTGATATAAATTTTACCTCTAATTCCTTGAATGGAAATGAGGAGGATAGGGAAAGAGAAAGAGAGAAGAAAGGTTTCTAGTCATTTCAAACATGAAACATCTAGAGAAAATAATCAATATACTGCCTCTCTTTTGTATTCAGATATCCTAACATCCACGTGGTATGCTTCTATATTAGTTATTACTGTCTCCTATATGAAAAATGATAAAAAAATTCAAGAAATATAGACATTAGTCCAGTGATGTGTTTCTTGTTTCTTGTGTGACCATTAGCAAGTTTTAAATTGTTCAGGTCTATTTTTTTCTAATTAAAAATTAAAATTGATAATGCTTGCCTTATAGAAATTATATCAGAATATAATGTATAGATATCCTCTGTGGATGTATATAGAGGAATACACACACACGCACACACACACTTTCTTTGAAATATAGTAAACACTTGATTTATGTCAATCTCTATCCCTTTTTTCCCACTACTGTAATCTCTCCTCAGTGTGGATTGTAGCCATCTTCTGCCTCTATGGCCAATCTGAATCTCTGCAGCTCTTTATGGCTTCTGCCCTCACCTTTTTCTCAATAATGTAAGTAAGCTGGAGTTGGCGCACTACTCTTCTTTTCCTTCCTAGCTCCATCCATCCACCCTCCTCTTACTGACTGCTCAATATTCCCTTCTGTCTCTCTCTGAAGGTCATTCCTAATGACTGGCTTATTTTTCTTTTTCTCTCAGTTTAAGTTGCCAGCACTGGGTATCTTTCACTTAAAGTTCATTTGTTGCTGTTGTTGCTATCATTTTATCTATCACTACCAATGTTTTAAATAACATATATACAATATGTTGATTTAATTCAGTTTAAGTACATTGTAAATTAAAGAATTTATCAGGTAAAAGTTAGGATAATTTGTATATGTGGGGGGTGGGAATCTGTAATAGTGCTGTTTTCTACAGAATTTCTACAGAGTCAGGTTTATGCCCTGAAAGGGGAAGTAGCAGAGGTGACCACTGGCACTCCTAAACCTAGGAGACAGTGCTCTTCTGCTTCTCTTCCTATCCAGTTCAGCAGCATGGATGTCTGTAAACCCATCCTTTCCTACACAAAATGAGAGGAGGATGAGGTACACTACTCAAGTTTGCCAAGAATCAGTAGAAATCAGGAATCATGAAGGTAAATGGTGATATAAGCCATTACATTCTAAACCTGTTGTGTGTTTTTAGTAATAGATTTTCAAAAAATTCTTATCTAAATAAGAGTTGAACCAACCCATACATCTGCGTTTTTGCTAAAACCATAGCCATTTAGTTTTAATTGGTAAAAATACATTATGTCTGACTTGAATAGAATCTCAATGATAACTTTTCAAATGGCTGCTTCATAGATAACAGCGACATTTATCATGAGCAGA